GCCTCCCTGCCTTTGCCGAGTGTCACCAGTAAGGCACTCGGCAAAGCCTCCCTTCCTTTGCCGAGTGTTACAAGTAAGACACTCGGCAAAGCCTCCCTGTCTTTGCCGAGTGTCACACTCGGCAAAGATGGCGGGCTTTGCCGAGTGCCCCCTGTGAGGCGCTCGGCAAAGCGACCGTCACCGTCAATTGGCGCCGTCAGGTAACTTTTCTTTGTCAAGTGTTTTACTGGCACTCGGCAAAACCTTTGCTGAGTGTCCGACAAAAGACACTCGGTAAAGAGGCTTTTGACATCACCGACTTTGCCGAGTGATCTTTGTCGAAAGTTACACTCGACAAAGGCTTTGCCGAGTGTATATAGGGATTTGCCGAGTGTCACGGGCAGTCGGCTAAGAGCCTGAGTCCGGTAGTGTATGCAACACAAACGACAAGGTTAAACGGACTTGGACGTTGATGTGATGAGTGCGACTTCATAACTACCGTTTGATTTGCTGTCTACTTCCTCCGCCGAAACTAACGGTAGGTATATCTGTCTTTTGGAGGAATTAAACTTTTTTTTATAATTGATCAAATACATACTTTCATAGAAGATACAAATGTTATTTGAATGCAACATTCCTGTAATTAAGATACATGGTGCCATTTCATAAATGGCCTAGAGCTTAGAAATTATGAGACAATAATGATGACTGATGAGCTAGTTCATGAAAGAACGGTGTCATCATATAATAAGCACATATAAAATCAAAGGCGATAGAGAAGGATTACGATGCAACAAATTAAAATCAACACTTAGGCGGCACCACACGTTGGTTATGAAGTTTGTGCAGATCCGATAGGAACCGAAGGAACGACGCCCGTGATGAACCACCGTCGTCCTCCATTGCCCCATCCGCTTGTTTCTTGTATGCTCCGCCCCGTCCTGCTCGGCCATCACCAGCCTCACCTTTGCCTCCACCTCTCGGGCCTTGATGAAGCCTGTGGCGTACCCCTCCATCTCTACTCCAATGCCCATGCCCACCGTCATCAGCACCTTATTCAGCATCTGTTCCGCGTAAAGTGGCCAGCACAGCACTGGCACCCCTGCCGTGATGGCCTCCAGAATCGAGCTCCACCCGCAGTGCGTCACGAACGCACCGGTCGCTGGGTGCCGGAGCACATCCACCTGTGGCGCCCATGACTTGACGACGAGGCCTCGGCCCTCGGTCCGCTCCAAGAAGCCCCGTGGAAGCAGTGCATCCAGATTATTCTTGAGCACGTCCTCGGTGCCGGTGCCGGTGCCAGCAATAACAGCCGGCAAGACCCATAGGAACCGTTGCCTGGACTTGTCCAGGCCGACGGCGATCTCCCTGAGCTGCTCCGCCGAGAGCACGCCCCTGCTCCCGAAACAGAGGAACACGACGCTGCGCTCGGGCTGCGCGTCGAGCCATGCCAAGCACTCGTGCCTCTCCTCCGCTGTCGTCGTCAAGCTGCTGCTGCTGCTGGCGCCCTCGCTGACCATTGGCCCGATGCAGTAGATCGGTGGCAGGACCCGGCCGGGGACACACCGTGGATCCATGAGTGCCTCCACGGCGGGCCTCTCCAACGACTCCAGCGTGTTGACCAGGACGCCGTCGGTCTCCGTGTCGCGCTTCCACACGTCCACGATTGTGCTGCACAGCTCGTCGTCCGGGTGCTCCAGCACTTCGGGCATGAGATGAGACGCGGGGAGCGGCGGCACGCCAAGGAACTCCACGGGCGTGTCGCGGAGCTCCTTCAGCGCCGTCGTCCTTCCGGCGAGCAGCGCCGGGAGCTGCGTCACGATGGCCAGCATCGAGGCCGACGACGCGAAGAACGTGTAGACTGGGACGCTTAGCTTGGCGGCCACGTCCACGGCGTGGGCCTAGTCACCACGGCGTGCAGGCGCTCCCGCGGCACGGTGGAGCGCAGGAAGGTCTCGAGCGCGTCGTTGTACCTGCGCATCATCTGGAGCAACAGGAGTAGAGGGTTCTTCTTCTTCCCAGAGCCGGCGAGTTGATCAGTGTCCGGCTCCGAGATCGGCGGGAGGACATGAAAGGAGATGACCGGGTTGGAGGCAGCGATGCGGTCGATGACGCTGGCGCCGAAGTCGGGCAACCCAGAAGGCGGCTCCACGAGCACGACGGTGACATCGTAGCCGTACTTGATGAACACCTTAGCGAGCTGGACCATGGGGACGACGTGGCCAACGCCCGGGAATGGGTAGAGGACGACGGTCTGCTGCTTCGTGGTCGTGGGCATGAATTCCTTGTCCATGTGGAACGTACTGACAAGGAGACTTATTATGACCAACTAATATTTTTGTTTCAGCATCACAGGATTAATATTTTTGTTTACAAAAATTACACAAAGGTGCATTCTTCTATTAAAAGATGGAATTTTTAAGCATACTAAAATTACTTATTATGACCAACTAATATTTTTCATAGATAGAGCATATCATAACAAGGCTACACATAAAATTCCACATTTGTCCACACTCCAATAATTAATTATGCATTTTACAAGAAATAGGATCATTTAATCTTTTCCGAAAAACATAAAATCATTTTCAGCGCCAGAGTCTTTTCTCACCCGCTCATCCCATAGCCACCGTCACTTACAGGCGGGGCCAGGGTCAACCTTGACCCTGCCCAACCTTGACCAAGCAGAGGCTGGCGGGTACATGACGGAGCTCGCAGGCGGCGAGGTCTCTGGCGGCGGAAACTACCTCGGCGAACTCCTCTTACTCACGCACATCCCATCCAAACACTAGACAGGTATCTAGAGCGCTACAGGGAGCACAGCGGCGGCCCAGGCGGCCCGGTGGCGCTCCAGCGCGGCAGAGACGACTGGCGGTGTGGTCATCGGCAACAGGGAAGGCACCAACGTGCTCCTGGGAACCCCGCACACACGTTAACGCTATCAAAGAACGAGTTAGGGTCAGGCTCGAGCTCGGGCGCGTTCACGGTGGAACGGCGGAGCAGAGCACGGTGGCGTGGCGGCGGAGCGGCTGCTACCGGCCCTAATCGGCCTAACTAAAGCATGCTACACGTTGCAGATACTCACCACGACCAGCCATGCCTGATGGTTGAAGCGGATGCGGAGCAGGGATGGCTGCCGTCGAGAAGGACGACGACGGCAGCGCGGACTGGTCGGCGAATTGGCGTTCCTGCGATTCTTGTGAGCCAAACCAGAAACGGCCGAGCCAATAAGCATCACGGCATCAAGATGGGGCTAAAACAACAATTAGTGAGGCGAGAGAAGCTCTGGAGCGGCCTGGCCACGGTGAGGTGCTCGTGGCGACCATGGCGGCGCTGCCGCGACGAGAACGGCGCGCGCAGACAATTCCGACGGCCGGAGGCGTGCAAGCAGGTCAGCGAGGAGCGCATGGGTGAGGCGAAGCTACAGGCGCGAGCTATCGGGCGGAGGCGCATCGGCGGCGGCTAATTTTGCCGGCAAGCGGAGCCTGCTGGCGGCGGAACAGAGAGAGGAGGAAGGGGAGGTGGTCGCCGGCGTCGCATAAAAGAAGGCAGGGACGGCTTTTCCAGCTGCGCTAGCTCCAGCTCAGGCTCGACACACAAGTAGGTGCATGTCCGAGCGCGCTAAGGCGACAACGGAGGCAGCGGCCGTCGGCAGCAAGCACCTGCGTGGCACTGTTGTCAGTGCCACTAGCCCACTATAGCGACTAAAACGGCCGTCTTCTTCGCTCTTTTTCTCTAGAATCTGAGCAACAACTCGATTGGCATGAACAAAAGTTATTCATCTATACGTGCTCTCCAACATTGCTTTAAGGTTCAGGATCAAAGGAGCTCGGGATTTTGAGATTTTGAATTCCAAACAGGGGTTCAGTGAAACTGAACCTAGGGTTTCAATTTCAGGTTTTGAAAAAACAGATTTTTGCTTAGCAACTTTGGGATTTAATTCATGAGCAACCAACAATCAAACATCACAACTAAATCCACATTATCAAAGCTCAAGTATAGGACCAAACAATGGAACAAAAGTTGGACACATTTTATTATGAAATTTCATTTAATAATTCTCCAAACATTGAAATAAATCACTGCATTTCAGTGACAACCAAAATGGCTGTGGAAAAACAGCATTGAATTCAATTTCTGAGCTCAACTTTAAACATATTTGACTTGAAAACTTTAACAAACTTTTATTCTATATTATAGAGCACACTTTGAACTACAAAGTTTATATTAATAAAATTTTAATTGTTTAGGCAAATTATTACTCTATAAATTCATAAAGAACCTTAATCATCAATATTGCTAACATTTCATGTATCAAAACAAATACCATATATGCAACATACATATGCTATAATTGAAACATAAAATGCATAAATGACACAATACTTTATGCTTATACTTGATGATGCTTATGATCAAGATTTTAATTAGTCTTTAACATCTACTAGGATGTTACATGATGACCACTCCGCGCATAACCACACGCCGATGCATGCCTCGAGAGCAGCCAACAAATTTAGGATCGGCTCCTCGGCGACATCGACATGTTGGCTATGAAAAATACCGTGCTCCGCCGCCGACTCGAGACGGAGATGCACGTGCGGAGGCGCAACATCCACACAATGACATGCTACGCGAAGGCGACAACGGCCGCCTGCACCCGAGAGCTAGCCAGAACTTCGCCGTAGCCATGCAGGCGGCCGTCGGAATGCCAAGAGCCGTCGTGCAAACAAGGGCGCCGCATGCTCTGCCAAATTAAAGATCTAGTGGAGGCGGTTGCGGCGCAACTTCCCAAGCTAAGTCGCGCATACGCGTTCATGTAGGAATACAGTGAGCCCATGTACGTGGGAGACATGGAAAATGGTATGGAAGAGGCAGAAATGAAATTATAAGGGCAGTTGTCCGAATGTCCGAATTGTAATGGTATATGTCTAAATTTGCAAAATTGCGACGGTATTGATAAAAAAAACCAATCTAATTTCTGCCATATCAATCGATTCAGTAGTGACTCGCGGCGATTCATGGAGGAAATCCGGTGTGTTTTGGAGGAAACTCAGGAGGAGCCTGCAGATCCTTTGTTGAGGATAGTTGAGCGCCCCGTGGAAGAGGAGCACGAGGAGAAGTGCGGCGGCGGCGGCGGCGACGGCGAGGAGGAGGAAGACAGAGACGGAGGCGACACGGTGGAAGAGGACAGCGACGACAGCGTGGAGGCTTTGGACGAGAACGGCAACCCGTGTCTGCCATACTTCGTATCCTGGGATCCACCGGTTAAAGTTTGCGCGGTAGGTAATGAGAACCTCACTGCGACTTTTTGAATTAGTTTCTAATAGTTCTTATCTTTGAACCACTGACATTAAAGTATCATCGATGTGAGAGATCTTAAATACAATCTGATAAAGCTTGAGTGGACCGCATGGGATCTAAAATACTATGATTATAAACAGCTTGGCTTATCTCTGTAAGTGTAATTTATTTTTGGCTTATTCAGTTTTTTCTTTCTTATCAACTTCGCTCTTCAATTACTTCGTATCCAAATCCAACTATTGATAGCCAGCCGCTAGTTCCTTTGGAAACTTCACGCATAACCTCTTTCTCTTGACGTGGACCAAAGAGAGTGACATCTTATCTTTTCCAAAGCTGTTAACATAAGAAATATGAATGACACTTGCAAAACCTTAGTTTCAAAATTTTTATAGTTTGTGTGTATATACTAATATACACACAACAGCAATCAAGCAGATCCTGAAAGATCTATACAAACCAGGTTAACCAGCTGAGTGTTACTGTCATTTTTTTTTTGGAGCAAGTTATACCATAGAAGAAGCTAAAGAGATATCTAATTCAGTCTATGAAAAGAATGATGAACTGTACGCAGAATGGTGTGTAATGGCTAACAACAACAGGACTCCTTTGCCTTTGGTGCCTCCAGATGTTCTTCCGAAGATAACCACAACTTGTGTTTACGGAAATGAGTGCTACCACCGGCAGTACTGGACAGAAATTACTTGTGAAAGTAACTGTTCTGATGATCAATTGCATTCAACTTAACTATCTTCTCTCATGGAGCGCATTTGCATTTTTATACATGCAGCTGCACCAACTCATCCGTATTTCAGACCTTGTGCGATGATGCAAATGTTCTCTTTGAGATTATCAAGCCCTTTAGCTCATCCTGTTAATATCTATGGGACATTTTCTGTTCGTGATTGCTGGGAGCCACTCCGCAATTATGTATTTAAGCACTCAAGAGATGATCCAGCCATGATTCCTCAGGTAACTGATGCTTGTTATTGTCATAATCTAGTTAGTTGAAAAGAGAAATAATTTGAATCGGTAGCAAAAATTGATCTATTGAGGCCAAGTGTGCGGTTGGGTCTGTTTTTCTTGAACTTTGAAAAGGTCCATATGGCACAGCATAGAAGAGTCAAAATTCAGAAGCAGAAGATCCAACAGTGAAGAAGGGGTAGGATTACTGAATGGATATAACCTGTAGCTAACTATTTTTGGAAAAAAGGTGGATAATAGCCACTTTATGTCTTGTTATCACAAATTTAACTCTTAATTAATTGAGTGCTGTTATCCAATAGTTGATCATTTTGGTGTTTCCCCTCTTGGATATTCCCTTGGCTATTTTTGAATTTGGACGCCTAGCATGCTTAGGCGCTAGATGCTACCCTCCCATCTAGCTCACCCCCTGCTGTCCATCCTGCTTACATATTTTTTTTTATTTATGCTCCAAATTGTTTGGAATTAGTGTCAGTCATGCAAGTCCTGATTCTTGTTGTGCCAATGCATATGGATGACGTAACACAGACTGACACCTAGACGTTGGAGTTAGATTGAACCAGAATATGGAAGACTGGAAGTTAGGGGACTATAGATTGATCACCTTGAAGGTTGAGGGACGAAATTAGCTACCAACATTTTTATATGAAATGTGATATCCGGGTCATTCTATTACCTACCAGCTGAATTCTCTCGTATGTATGTACTGCATCATACCGAACTCTTCTGGAAGTGTTGTGATTTGTAAATTTGTATTTTATTGTATGGAGTTCTAATGTTATATCAACAACAGGGTTGCTCTTTCCTTCCTCTTCGTAGCCCTTACCGTGGAATATATGTATTGCAGTATATATTTTTTGACATTGATCTTTGGATAAAAGAGGAAGGGGATGGATCTGCTGACAAACCTTTGTTTTGTGGCTATGTCGAATGGGATACTTCTCGATCGTCATTTGGATCGAAATTAAAAGGACGACTTCAAGGTGATTATCATGGTTTGGACATGCATTTTGCTGTTCTCTTGGACAGCATTGAGACTGTTATAGAGGTCCTTGCGGAAGCAGAAGATCCGTTAGATATGGAAATCAGTGCTCTAACCAGTGGCTTAGATAATGAGGTTTCGCTATATGATGGCACATTCTGTGGAAGGGGGGCAATATTCAGGCATTTCCTGGCTGTGAAAAAGCAAGATGAATTGTCTGTTGTTCTGAAAACGGATGATTCGCTATATAAATGGACTTTTAAGGCTGCAGCTGGAGTTCTTATATCACCTGAACACCCGGTCTCTGGTTTTACCCAGTATTTTGTCATGAATGTATCTTTTAGAACAAGGGGCAAAGCAGCATCAGCATTGCAGTGGAGTTGTATATGCAACGATGTTTGTGTCTCAGAAATGTGTCTGTAGTGGTAGCTGGTTGTACCATTTGCCATCCGAAGCCTGTCTGCTGGAGAAATACAAACTTCGTGTCGGACCTTCGCATGGGATGTAAGAAAGGTCTTTGTGGACGAGAAACATGTCAATGGATGCACTGTTTTGTTTTGTTTTTTCCTACCAATGAATTTGGTCTTGTAATGGCCGACAAATTCCTGTAATTTTCCCTTTTTATTTATGTAACTGCCCCATGGATAGCGCATGGTTGGCTCAGCGAATGCTGAACTACAGGATTTTTGTTGAAATAGAAGCTAATATTAAGACATTATTGAGAAGCTTGTGCTTGGTGCGTTGTTCTTCGTTTGATTCTGGATTGTTGCTCTTCGCGCAGGCCGCAGCCTTAATGAGTGCTTAGACTAAGTGTAGAGGCTTAAGATACTGTTCTCGACTACACACTGCATGAGCAGGATTTACCTAGTGACACTGATTTAATACCATAAATATTTATACTTTTCTATAAATTTGATCAGACTTGAAATAATTTGATATATGATAACTCTAAAAGTAGATTTAATTTGCAACGGAGGGAATACATGATACGTTTCATGATAGACTAGTGACATAGAATGCCTTACAAATGAAAAACAAAGGAATACACAAAGGACTATGATAAGACGTTTTGGTTTCTCAAGATACATTATTTTTATTATGCATAATGTATATCTATCTAAGTGCATAACAAAAGCTACGTATCTTAAAAAACTTAAATATCTTATAATTTTGAACGGAGAGAGTACGAGTGAATTGGAAATGCAAAACATGAAGGCAGTAGCAGCACTGAAACCCTCTTCACATCGGGAAGCTCATCAAGGCTGGTTTGGATAGGTTTATGGCTCCTTGCTGCCTCTTGCCGCTGCATCCTTCTCGGCTTCAAGGCTCTTCATCATAACGTTTTGACACATTGCCATGACATTCTGACACGTCTCCGTTGTGACCTCCATGACGACTTCAGCAGCAGCAGACACGGAGGCCGATCCCCCTTTCGCCGATGCCAAACCCAACAGATCAACAACGGAGTCACCGATAAAGCCATTAGCGGATGCTCCGCCTCCCAGGTCCGTCGACGTAAAACTCCTCGGCCCCTTTGGGATACGCGACAAACCACACCACAGGCCAACCATCGCAGCAGTAGCAGAGCGGCTTACTCCTACGTAGCCGGCAGTGTCAGCACGCCCGTGCTCCGCTACAGGTTCGCGCGTGTCCACCTCGGAGTCGCCGTTGCTAATGTCGTCCTCCTGCTGCACCACTCCGTTGTCCAACACAACAACGTCGTCCTCCTGCCGCGCCGCCTCGTCAGTCTCCTTCTGATGATGGAGATGGACAGGCGTCGGCTGACCGGTGGCCTAGCCGGTGCCGGTAGGGGACAAGACGCCGTGCAGGACGGTGATGAAGCGCCTCGACTCCGGCGCCGCAGCGGCACCTGAGTAGTTCTTGCAGCAGATGGCGGCAAGTCTGCGGAAGCGACCCTTGCACTGTCGGCTTGTTCGGTGCGAGCCCAAGTTTGCTCCATCACGGTACGCGTTGACAGCGGCCGCCACGACGCGCCAGTCCTCGGCGACGAGGCAGCGGGAGGAGCGCACGCGGACAAGCCAGCTCGCCGAAACCCACGGGTCGCCTTCACCGTCTCGGCGGTGCCGATCCCTGGCTGCCCTGCACATCTAAGCAACTACACACTCACTCACTATGGCTAGAGTTAGAAGAAGAGATTGAGAACAGCGTACACACACTCAGCACAAGCACCAGCGTTGGACGAAGCCCTGCCCTTTGGTTTGTGGCAACTGAACTGAGTATTCCATTGCCCTTTGGATGGAATATATACAACTTTAGCTGTACCTTTACCAGGTACATAGTTATTGGCTAACTACCTACTCCTGAGTATAAGAGTACATCAACTACCTACTCCTAAGGTACATGATACACCAACTACCTACTGAAAGGTCCTTGTTGGTTTTGGTAATTGAGTGACAACCTAGGTGGACTAATTATGTTTATGTGAGATACACAGATGATTAGTCCACAGGTACATGTGTATGAGCAACATATGCCATGGAGGTGAAAATGGCTTGGAGATGTTGCAAAGCTCACACATGTGATGATGAAGGAGCTTATTGCACATGAGACATGACATTGAGTCATGTGATCAAGGTGGAGAAGATCAAGACAAGACTTGGCTTAATGGACCGGTTGCAAGCGTGAAGGGCAAGTCGAAGGCTTTGGAGTGATGGACCGCGTGGCGGTGAAGCTTGAGCAAGACTTGGCGTCGATGGACGATGGCAACGGTGAAGAGCAAGTAGAGTCAAGATCGATGAACCAATATGATCATGTGATGATATGAAGTGGATCATATCATTGTTGATCATGTTGGTGCATGTGTTGCATCGACATTGAAGGAGATGGAATGGAATGCGCAAGGCAAAGGTATAACCTAGGGCATTTCATTTCACCGGTCATAGGTGTGTAGAGAAGTTTATGACCGGGTTTTAGGATAGATGGCCGTACTATCAAGAGGGGCAAACTTGTTTGCATATCGGTCATCTAGTGCCACTCGAGTGATCTAACTTTGCATTGTCGCTAGGATCGAGTGGCGTGGCAAGTTGAGTGGCTAACATCCTTTGGGAAATGATTGTGAAAATGCTAACACACATACACATGGTGGTGTACACTTGGTGGTGTTGGCACATTTACAAAGGAGGTGGTGTTTGCAGGGGTGAGATGGGATTCGGCGCTTTCGGGAAAATAGAATGCCTATTTTCTATTGCGCCGGATGCAAGTTCTTGTGGTTAGCACATTGGAGCAAGGGTGATGAAGTTAGAAGTGAAAACGAGTTAGTCGCGAAGATGTCAAGGCGTCGGTCAACCGACCGACGCCGAATCTGAATGCTGCCGGACGCTGGCAGTCTGCGTCCGGTCAGCCGACGATGATGATGCAGAGTGGAGTGTGACCGGACGCCGGCTGCGTCCGATCAAGTGTGACCGGACGTGTCCGGTCGAGGTCGGTACCTTCTGAAACGACCGGACGCCGAGGGTTCAGCGTCCGGTCCGATTGAAAGCTCGCCGTCCCGGTCAAGTCAAGTGACTGTTGGAATCGGACACGTGGTTGTCTGCGAGCGACCGGACGCCGAGGTCCAGCGTCCGGTCAACACGACCGAGCGTCCGGTCGCCCGACCGCTGCCCAAAGATGAAGGGTAACGGCTAGTTTAGCCCTTGGGGCTATAAATAGAAGTGGCCCTCGGCCATGGCTGGAGCTAAGCACCTCAAGGGACTTAGTGTCCATGCTTGTGAGTGCTTGGGAGCCCTCCATCACACATATACTTGATAGTGATCTTTCGATTGTGTGAGTGAGCGATTCTAGTGCGATTGCATCGTGAGGTTGCATCGAGTGGCACTAGGTGATCGAGTTGCGAGCCGGTGGTGCTTGTTACTCTTGGAGGTTGCCACCTCCTAGACGGCTTGGTGGTGGTCTTCGTCCGGCGCCAAGAAGAAGCTTGTGCGGGCGCTCAAAGAAGTGCTTGTGAGGGGTACTTGTGCTCGCCCATGAAGTCGCGAAGAGCAACTTTAGTAAAGCGTGTCATTGAGCTACCCTCACTCAAGGGGTAGGTTCTTACGGTGCCCGACGTGCGGGCTTAGCGGGTGATGCTAATTAGCTGCCGAACCACCAAGTGAGCGGTCGACACAACGGGGACTAGCGTGTTGGCAAACACGTGAACCTCGGGAGAAAAATCATCGTGTCAACCTTGTTCTTCCCGTTGGTTTGCATCCCCATTACACAAGCTTGCAATTACTTTTATATATCTTAAGCTTGTGTAGTTGCTCTTGTAATTAGTTAGCTTGTGTAGCTTACTAGTTACCTTCTTGCTTGTGTAGCATAGAAGTAGCTCCCTTGCATGGCTAATTTGGTTTTAGTAACCTTGTTAGTCACATTGCTTAGTTTGTGTAGCTAAGTATTTACGCTCTCTAATTAGGCATTGGTTGCCTTGTTATTGAGCTTTGCTAGTGAGCTTAGTTGGCTGTGTGCTTTTGCTTACTAGCATGTGTAGGAGCTCCCTTGTTGCTTAAAGTACTAGTGGCATAGGTTTGTGTGACCTTGCTCCTAAAATTGTTTAGGAGAGCTCTAGCTAGCCCGGCACCTTAGTTGCATAATTAGTATCTTGGCAAGGTGCTAGTGAGCATATATAGAGGGGTGTAGTCTTGGCTAGACCGATTGTTTTAATTCCGCATTTATATCGGTTAGCCGACGTGATTAATTTTAGAAAAGACTATTCACCCCCCCTCTAGTCCGCCATCTCAACCCCTTCACCTACTCCTAAGGTACAGAGTATACCAACTACTCCTAGCAGTACAAAGCTTACCTCAGTCCACTACCAAGTCATGCCTGATGTAATAGCTACCAACTAATATACTAGATGTGGCATATTGTAATACTGTTACAGCTACAGGAACTGATCGACAGAGTCGATCAGTCCCTAACTCCCAACAGGGAGTGGTCGGCCAAGCCGACCAGTCTCCAACCAAGGAGAAATGGGGAGCAACAGATTATGTCTAACAATTCTTCCCCTAATCCTGCTGCTAGCCCGATGCCTTGACCTCATCCATGCCAATCATCTTTCTCAGCTCCATGAACCGCAAAGCGTCCGAGTGACTTGGTGAGGATGTCAGCGAGCTGTCTACCGATCTCGACAAACTCGATGACGATTTGCCCTCCATCGATGTAGTACCGAAGGAAGTGGAACTTGACGTCGATGTGCTTGCTCTAGTCGTGGAGAACTAGATTCTTTGCAAGGACGATGGCGGGCTGGTTATCCACCATCAGTGTTGGTGGGCGAGCTTCCACACTGGTTAGCTTGCCCAACAGTCGGCGCAGCCACATAGCTTGGCACGCCGCTGTGGCCGCCGCGTGACATACTCCGCCTCACACGGCGATAGCGCCCCGATCTTTTGCTTCAGTGACTGCCAAGTAATGGGGGCCACTCTAAA